ACTTGGTATCCAGCAAGAACGTTACTTTTGGGGTTAATTGCGCAAGTAACCATAGGCACGTTATTTCGCCTTTTTGGCTATATACACAGCAAATATCTAAAATATTGCTCGGTACTTTTTTGCTAGATTCATTCTGTAAAATTAAACATATAATTTTCTTATTTTTTCAGAATCAAAACTGCTGAGTTTCCGTAAATTACATTAATTTACCAAAAACTGCTAACAAAAATTACTGATCAAAACTGTAACGTTTTATGAAGATTGGAATATTATTTTCGTCCAAAAGAAGCATGTAGTTCACGAACTTTTCATTTAGATGCATTTCCCCTGTTATTAATTGAGAGCTTTCGATGCATATTCCCTATGCCCAGTGAAGTCGAGACATGTTCCAACCCGGAAATTTCCTAGAGCGAACCGGGAATCGAACCTTTGTAGCTACGCCTTAACCGACTGAGCTAAGGGAGGCCATGTGAATTATTATGAATCAATTCATACTTATACCTTAAGGTAATCAAAAAATTGTGTCGATTATTATGCCAAACTTCATTTCCGTAAAGATTCTTAACAAAACTTTGAATCAAATGGTCTGTGTTATGACAGATTGCTTTCGCTTGTTGTTGTTTATCTATTCAGGCTAAACCAAACTTTAATGATTACGTCATTAATTGGAAATTATCTCATATATTCATATATTTCCAAATTTTATTTTTTCGAGAGCATAAAAGATCAACGCTACAAAATTTGATTACACACCATTTGTGTCAAAAAGTTCTCTCCTGTGGATAACCACAGCTATTCCATATTCCTCACAGTATGCAGCTTTCCCCCAATAAACCTTTATTAAAAAAAATATCCTCCCATCACGTTGCACACTGCAGCATCAAATGACTGCTGCTTGCAAAGTCCATCCCACTCCATTGCGCAGTGGGCCAGGAATGATATCTAGCAGGAAAAAAATAATGACTTCCTGGGATTTCATCCAATTGAGTTGACGTCTTCAATTCAGTTTCTTGGATTAGTTAGTAAATTCTGTTCCATTTAGAATTTGACCGCACAACATAGGTCTTTTATCCAAGGGAAAATAAAGTACGCTAAAGGTATCATTTTGTAGGATTTTTATTTAGCTTTAAGGGAAACTACAACAAAAAATATTCGTCAGCTTTTCGGATGAATTTTCGGACTATTCGTGGAATACCTCTCATCATGACTTGCACAGTAGTACTGTCAACCTCATCTACCATCCTTTTCCACAACTTCTCCAAATCAGATGGTGTTTTGATTGTTTTGCCACATTTCTTCAATTTGCGCTTGAAATTGCAAAAAATAAAATTCAATGGGACGAAAATCTGGACAATTTGGTGGATTGATACTTTTCTCAATAAAATACTACCTGGAACAGACTTTACTACAATTTAATAGATAAAAATAGTTCACGTGTTTGCCGCAAAATGGTGCACTTTTTTATTTCGCAAGATAGATGTTTGCTGTCTTGGGCAAAGTTGAAGAACGTAAAATTTAATGGATAGTTGTCGAGGACATAACAGCTGTACATCTTCAAACAACTGATTTATACCAGGTTGTATAAAATTTGACTCAAATTCACGGTTTTAGTATTATATTTTAGACATTCGTTCAAGAGAATACTTTTATCATTTTCCCTGGATCGGTAATAATCAATTCATTTTTTCCAGATCAGTGCTATTATTTTAAGATTACTGAACAATATATATATATATCACATGAAATTTGTAAAAAAAATACATGATTTTCAGCAGGATGTTTCTTACAATTAATCCTTAATAGTGAGCGCAAAATGTTGTAAATTGTTCAAAATAAACAACATTTATTATATTTCCTCGAAATGTCTCAGAGGTATAATGTGAAACATTTGAGATATTTGGATTTAAATCAAAAAATGCATTTTATTTAAACAAATCTCAGTTTATTTGATAACAGTATTAACAATTTGTTATTCTTGATCTAGGTAAAATTTCAGTGCATCTACTTCAATTCAATCTACATTCACAAACAAAGCAGATGTATTTAATGAAAACTCTAAGCAGTTCTACACGCCTTCTTCTGTGCATTGGTCTCACCAAGTCTTCAAAAGAGAGTCGTCTCCAACCATTCATAATTTCTGCTATCCTCTGCTGTAGAACCGTCCAAGCTGGGCCGAAACGAGCACAAGCACAAAATTTATGGAGAAGAGTTTCAGTCATTTGATTGCCACAATGTGTACAGTTTTTGTCCGGTACTATTCATATACTTGTGAAAAATGCAAAAAGTGATACAATTTAGAAAATTTATATTGAAAAAACATGCAGAACAACTTTGTCGAAGATCGAAAATCGATGAGACATTTGAAAAATATTATTGACTTTTAATTTCCGTTCAAATGCGCCGCGCATACCTACAAGCTCATACACAGCCCTGTAGCTATACTTGGTGCAGTAGGTCAAAAGTAAATGGTTGATAATATTTGCAAAGATATTCAATGTTAATTACTTTATTTGTACAGGCTCAATCGAATAAACTTGACAGAGCCAAGTTATCATTTTCTTTATACACTATAAATGTCTTAAATCTAAAATTAAAGGATTTGATCGATTACTCGCGGTCTTCTCGAGGTTAGTGGATGACAATTGTTTGGATCGGAATAGGAGATTTGGAATAGGATTTATAATTAAAATATTTCACTATTTCTAAAACATGTGCTTAATCCTATCGACGTCATATCAACTCTGTAATTATACAATTATTGCAGAAACAAATATACAAACAAAAACACACACACACACACACACACACACACACACGCAAAATACAAACTAAACACAAGGTTAATCTTTGAATGATTGATAACATTTTGCTCTCACTTAGGTTTTTTTTTTTTATTGTTTCCGAAAATCGTGATTTTTTTAATTTCTTGTGGTATATATTTTTTAGAATTTAAAAAATAATAGTAGTGCTCTTGAAAAGATAGAATTGAACATAAGCGATCGAGGAAAAATTATAAAAGTATTGTTTTGAACGAATGTTGAAAATATAATACAAAAAAACCTGAATTCCAGACAACTTTATAAAACTCCGTATATCTCAATTGTTTAGAGATGCACAACACAGATGTCTTCAGCAACTTTCCATAAAATGTTAAGGTCTACAAATTTGCCCGAAACAGCAATTCTCTATCTTGCGAAATAAAAAGTTTGTATCGCTGCGCCATCTTTGCGGTCAAAACTTGAACTATATTTATTCACCAAATTGTAATCCTAACTAATCCCAGAAACTTCACTAAAGACGTCATTTGGAAGAAATACCAGAGCGTAATTCTGTTTTTCCTGCTAGAGTTCATACCTGGCCCACTGTGCATTGTAGCTGGATCTATTAATATGCTTAGCATGAAACTCACCCACCTAACTGATTAGCAGCAAACCCTTCTTTGTTCGCTCACTTACGGTTGCCCGTCATTTGAAGAATTAGCCACAAACTAGAAAGCAGCACTGCTCTGCTGGAATGAAAGCTTGGACCAGAATCAAATAGCATTGTTAAACCGGACTTTGCATTTTCAAGTAAACGTTGTTCAAGTGAAAAAAAACAGTACCCCAAAAAAGACACTGCTATATTTTTTATTGGTATTTTTTATGATATTTTCTGTACACAGCAAAAAATAAATTTTAATATCTTATCAAAGCTGATTCACTTCCATCGTCGTTTGAAAATATGACATTACGCTGCTTTAACTGTATTTGTTTATTTTTGTGGCCATAAAAATTACACGAAATTTTCATACATGATTGAAGTGCATCCTCTTGGATGTAATATTAAAATTTAGTTTTTGCTGTGTACAGTACAGCAACTTTTCAAGCACATAGTAAATTACAGGTGATTATAAATCGATTCCTATGGATAACTTATTTTCATTAAAAATTCATATGGCCCTTATTCATAACATGTATGTGTTTATAACTGGCAATGTTAATTACGTTCAATTACCTTCATTTTATATTACGTTGGTACTGTAACTGTTGCCTACTCTCAACTCTATATTCTGAGCGCGCAATTCCATAACAAATTCCTAGAATTCAAAACCTTCTATTGACCCCGATCCAGATGACTTGACACGCAGATTTGTGGCCTGTGATTACCCTTTTAGTCTAAATCCGTCTTGTTTTGCACCAATAGCAAGAAGACATGATTTATTGTGTTTTCCAATCGACAATTATTATTATGTTCACTAATCAATGCTACAACGCAACCTAAAAATAGCGTTTTTTACTTTAACTATTTCAGGTGAATAAGATTGTTTTGATATTACTCAGATAATTTCAAACGTATTTTTCAACCTTGTCTAACGTAAACATAAATTTAAACTTACAACAAAACAGAAAATAATCAATTTAGATGAAATGTCGTGGTGAAGAACTACATGGAATGGGTCTATTGCAGTTTCATTTATGTATACATTGTTTGGATAGCACTAAGATATTTAAAAAAAAAAACTCACTGATCCACTATTTCTCCACTATCAACCTTATGTGATTGATGTATCTACTCGCTTTATGATTTCAATCCATGTGCTCTTTCAATTACAATCGAACTTGAGTTTACTATAGGAACTGTATAAATATCAAAATATCGAATGCAGGAAATGAAATAAAGATAATCAACTTACCCCGTGCTTGCTTTTAGTTTCCGATTCAATGAGCTCATGAAAGATGTAAGCTTCGAAATGTGATAACCCCATACTCAATCACAACTGCATTCCATGCTTCGGCACCTGCACCATTATGTAATTTAAGCCTTTTTTACTGCTTTTTGCTCATATTTAACCATTAGAAGCCGTAGAATAAGTAACTCGATCGATATAAGCGCATTTTCTATTCATTTTCGTTCTTGAGTTGTACACACAGAGAACGCTGCTCTCAGTTTTGATAAATGGCACAAATTTAAAAAAAAAATCCCCTCTTTTCTTCTCCTCCTCCATCCGAAACGGAATCTAGCTCCGAAAGCCCGTGTCCACGCTGTCGATTCCCGGATCGATGAAAACACCGTGCGCCGGTAATCGGGAAACAGTATCGGCTGCATGCACAGAAGAAGCCGGTATCGCGCTCGTGGGCGTTCACTCAGAGTATCCCAGGTAATTATCCCTGCCCGTGTGTGTGTTCCCGCTGTGTACCTTCCCATACATAGTGTCCTTACGTGTGAATCCCAAATGAACCCAGCAACCCCACGTGCACGCGCCCCTCCGCGGACGTGATTTCCGTGATTCCGGGAAGCAACCTGATCACTCTGAGCTTAGGGAAATCATCCATACGAAGTGGCGCGCGGCAATATTAAACTTCCGTTTTCGGGCATCACGAACCGAAACTAGACGGCAATAACTACCACCGCTTCCACAAAAAAAATCAAAATCACACAAACACTTCCCCTCAACCAAGGCGCAATAACAACATTAATGAATGTTATCATCAAGGTACATGGAGGAGCGAGGCCTGGGTGGCGGCGTCTGTAAAGGTCCCGGCTCGGTGCAAGGTGGTCCAGGTACAAAGCACAAACCGAATGTAGGATACCGCCTCGGACGACGGAAAGCGCTGTTCGAGAAGCGAAAACGAATCAGTGATTACGCCCTCGTCATGGGTATGTTCGGAATTATTGTGATGGTTATAGAAAACGAATTAAGTAGCGCTGGTGTATATACTAAGGTGAGTTTTTCAACCTTGTTGTACTGAATTTTAAATTGCATTTCATCTGAGAATTTCTGTTATCCACATAGTAGCTATAAAATGAACATTAGTGTTACCCTACCGATAAAAACAAAAGAAACCCTTGAAGTACAGCTCAACCGATTCCTCAAATAAATAACTGAACCCCAAAACATAAATAGTAATCAATTCGTATCATCGGTGTTGTACCATTACAATTAAATTAGTTCGTGTAATTTGTGATAGCTCTTTTGACGCAGGATGATGTGACGAAATAGTGTCATTTATGAAAGAAATTCAATTTTAATCACACAATTTTATTCAGATTGAGTGTAAGATTTGTTTGGTATAGAGATGATAGTTGCTTATCAATGGTTGACTATTGAAACCGGTCAAACCGTAATCAAACAATCACGTGCTCACTTGCTACACACTAAGATTATTTTACCGAAATCTGTGATTTTTTTCCGAAATCTCAACAGCTGAACGTTCGGTAAACAGTTTGGTGATTTTTCACAGATATTCGTTGAAAAATTACAGGAAAACTGTGAAAAATGTTTACCGAACGTTCAGCTGTTGAAATTTCGGTAAAATTTCACAGATTTCGGTAAAATAATCTTAGTGTGTATGACTATCGAGAGACGAGCCGGTACCACTCAATACTCAATGTATATTTTTTTTTTTTTTGCTTTTTTTTCTATTCATTGACCTACATCAGCAAAATACAGAAAAAGGTGGGACTTAGTTTGACTGCCGATTACAGTAAAGGGGTGTTCATTGCGTTGTACACTGAAACCGAAACTAACTCAGAGTGTGAGTTACTTTTACTCAATCGTATTCACAAATTATTCTAAAAGCATTTTTTGAATGCTGAGACTCTTCCGTGTAAGCCACAGTTAAAATTAGGATCGTGCAACAAATTCTCCCTAAAACGGATTTCTTGATCATTGAATGTTCTGTGTCATACAGGAAAAAAAAAATCAAAATTCAAAAATACGTTTTTATTTTTAAAACTGGTTGGTAGCTTATGAAAAACTTTAGAAAAACAATCAACTATGTCGCTGAAATTGACATACAAATCTCTTTCGAACAAAATGCAAACATAACCGTAGCTGTTTTTTTAATCTTATTGTTAAATACAATCAAGCACTTTGGAATTACGTGAATGGTCTGAAAGATATTTTTCTGGCAGAAATCAACGGACTGTTTATAATTGTTCTATTTTTAGTCCCGTGGGTAATAACCTTGGAGTGCTCCAGGGAAGTGTATTAGTACCCCTTTTACTTATTATGTATATTATGAATGACCCCTTTTATTTATTGTGTATATTAGAAGGTAAGGATGAACGGTAAGATGAAAGAAAATTCCGGGAAAAGTAAAACAAACCAAGCAGAGGAAGCTCTAAAGGATGGTGCCGGTGGTTGACTGGTAAGCGTGACTGCTCCCATCCCAGTGTGTCTGGGTCCAACCCTAGGCGAGGTCATAAGGATTTTCTGAGATGAAAAATGAGTTATTATGGTGTTCGTGTTGTTGGATTTGATTTATCTAGGGACCAGGTGTGAAGTCACCTCCCTAACGTCGGTGATTGGCACTCGCTTGCGGAACAGTGACTTAAGGAAGATAAACAAGAAATGAACAAACGAAGTCTAAAAACTTCCGGGAGAAGATAATTTTAGTGAAATTCCGATGCTGTGATGAAAAAAAAAACATTCGGCGGAAGTTTGGATAAACTTCTGGAAAAAGTCGGAAAACATTTCCAAGGGAGAGTTCTGGAAAATTTGATAGGTAGTTCCAATTAAAAAATCAGGTACATCTTTCGATAGAAGATTAAGACCATAATTCAAAGACCGTATGGCCATGACTGGTGCATCTCCCCTAATTATAGAAATAACTGACACTTATACTGCCCATAAAAACATAACAGTTACATAAATGCTTGATTTCGTATTCAAATGGGACAGTTATGCGTTTACGGGTAGTATAATAGCTATAAATACAGAAATGTCCAATTTTACATGTTTTCTTCATACCGGCTTTGACAGTCCTACACGAGCTTACGCCTGTTACCTACTTAGTGTTCTTTGAAGCACTTCCAACGTTATTAATATAAAGCTTTCTGTGCCAATCAATGCATGAATTTGTATATATTGTGTCAAGCACAATAATACTTAACGCTCAGGGAAGTCGAGAAGAATTATCTAGACTGAACCGGGAATCGAACCGGCCGCCTTTAACTAGACCTTAAGATTAATTGTAATTTGTAATTGTACTAAAATTAAATAAAAAGTAGACCAAGGAAAAACTTTATGGCAGGTGCCATTTGGGCCAAAACATAAATTTGGTTAAGGGGGCGATCCCGGCGTAGTGGTTAGCATCCATACCTCTAAAGTCAAAGTCACGAGTTCAAATATCACCCCTGGACAAGTCACGAATGACCCAAGAGCGTTAAAGTGCCTATAAAAAATAGCGTCGCCGGTGGTGTTGTAGTAAACGTGATTACCAAAGGGGAGAAGTAAAGTCGTTGGTCCCCGGTTCAGGAGCTGATGGGTCGATAGGTCGGCTCCAGGTGAGGAAGCTGCCTCTCTGGTGTCGGTAGCATTAGTGCTCAGCACGGAAAACAAGATCGACGGAAAACAAATCAATTATGATCACACTGTACTTCGTTTGTATGGCTAATAGATCACGTATAATCCTCGTCTAGCCACATAATAGCATGTTCAAACGTTTGTTTACTTGTGGACATTAAAAAAAAGTGCATTTACTACTATTTATGACACCTAACTTTACAGCACTATTTAAATAAAACAACTGGTTAATGTTATCTACACTTTACTCCAGGAGTTCAAGAAACATATTCTTGTCATCATTTCCTGTATATTCTAGATATATGTGTCAATAAACATTTTTCAGTGTTGGCCCAATGTCACCCCATCTTACAGTATGTTAGAAAAGGGGGCATCAGATAGCCTTGTCAGTAAAAAAACGATACAACCAAGCTGGAGGTGGTGGGTTCGATTCCCGGTTCTATCGTGGGAATCTTTCTGGTTTGTTTTTTGTCAGTCAAAATTAGATTCCTAGTAACAAAATTAAGCAATGACACCGACTAACTAACTCCCTTTTTTGTTGTTTCAAGATTATCCTCGCCCCAGCCAAACTGAGGACTTATCACTATTAACAAGACATAACACGTAACAAGATGTATTCCTCTGATTACGGAAAAATCCTGTTCCCCTAGTTTAAAAAAGTCAAAACGAGGAATCGGTTGTAGATCTTACATCCCGAAACGTACCACGAAAAGGTGATCTACCCACGTTACGGGGCAATCTTTCGGGTTGGAAATATTTTCTACTTTTCCATGCATATAATATAATTGTGCTTGCCATCGCTAAAAATCTGCTATTTATCAATTTTATCTACATGAACGCGTTATTGGGACGTTACTAATGGATATTTTTGGTTACTTTTGAAAATTTAGTCGATTGCTGAATTTATGTATGGGCCCGAATTAGGGACACTTAGGCCGACATTACCTGCATTTCCCCTAATATATAAATTCATACACTTGGCTGGCATAGAATCACAGAACAGAAGTGGAACTTCGGATCAGATAATGGCTTCACTATTCATTGGCAAACACTAGCACACCTAGCGGTAGAAAGCAGCTTCTGCCTGCAGTTAGAATAGGCGGCATGCTATGATAGTGTGAGTGCACATAGAAAACCAATGCTACCACAACGCATCGCTTGTTGACCACCACTTTTTGATTCACCGATTTGTTTGCACTTCCCCTTCTGTTATGTGATAGATGTGATGACTTTCAATTAATAACTGTGAAAGTGTATCTTGAACACTAAGTTGAGACTCGTAAAAAGCGTAGTAGAAGAAGAAGATGTCAGATACGCTCGTATACTTCAAGGCAACGAAATTTAGCCGATTCTTTTTTTTTTTTTTGTAGTAGGGGAAATGGCTCTAATGTTGACCTATGGATCCTATGTTGGTCCCATCGCTAAAAATCTGCTATTCATCAATTTTATCTAGATGAACGCGTCATTGGGACGGTACTGATTGCTGAATTTATGTATGGGCCCAAATTAGGGGCATTTAGGCCGACATAATATCCATTTCCCGTATGTGCCGCAAAGGAAACCTCATACAAAACTAAGAAAAAAATAGTTTGAAGATATTTTTGGAGGGAACCAGAAGTATGTTTGGAGAATGTAGAATGAATTTTGTAAAGGAAACAAACGGTACTGTATTCTAAGAAAATGTGTTGGATCAGACTTCCGAGAGAAATTGCTGCGAGAAGACGGAATAATCTTCCAGGTGAAGTCAGCGCAAACATCCGGGGAAATTGAAATCAAATACTTAAGAAACAAAAAGTTAAAAATATCTCAGTCTGTTGTTTGTAATTGTTGTACAAAATCAAGGGGATGGGGTCTTAAAAATCATGTTGTGCATTTAGTTTTAATTATTTTATAATCTTAAAACTCATCGCACCAAGTTTTATTTGCAAAACTGTGCACTGCTACTTTCACTCGGCTTTGTTTACATTCTATGGTCATGCCTAGAGGTGTTACATTTATTAAGCCATACTATAAGGATAGAGGGTTTTTGTAAAATTAGACAACAAGCATACATTAGGTACAGGAAAATCGTGACTAAAGGAGGATAGAAATTTTCTTAAATTTCACGTGACATAATTAATGCATGACCCCTAAATCGATCACAGTTGGCAGATGTACTAGTTAAAGTCAGGGTTGCTTACACTCACTTGCTATAAAAATTTGTTTTTCGGTATTATGAAATCATTAGGTTATATAATTATAATTAGTTCTCTTAAGTTACAAGAAAAGGTTGTAAACTATGTGTTTGACTCAGAAAATCTGTCATTATTGCTTTCATTGCGTCACAATCAGCGATTATACGTTCACTCTGAGTGAACGCTCACGAGTCATAAATTCGCTGCTTGTGACGCACCAGAAGCTTGATTGACAGGTTTT